TCGTGGCCTCTTCTATGATGAGACGAAGGAGGAGAGTCCTCGAGAAGAATATAATAGGTATTCTTCCCAGTCTTCTCGATCGAGAGAGGTTCGTGCAAACATTTGTGCAACCATTCACTAAAATGAACGAGAATCCCTTTTGTCTTCTCAAGACGATCCATAATCCTATTCATTTGCGAGACGGTTAGAAAGTGGGACGTGTAAAAAATATTTGGCTCGTTTCATTAACAAAATTTGTGCATCCAAAGGTGGAATGTCACGAGCCATCAACACGTTTTCGTCGGATAAAAATTCGTCCCGCATCTTTTGATAACTCCCCCCCACGGTATAATAACCCGCACATTTTGAAAAATCGGAGGCTTTCAGGTAAACGACTCCTTGGATGATATAAAAGGAAAGATCAACATATTTATATTTGAAAGGAATACACGTAGTGAGCTGGGGATGCCTCCTCATGATCCACTTGGACAAAAATACGACTTTGGGGCTCTCCCCTTTTATTTATAGAGAGAAAGAGAGTGTGACCTTCCCTTCCCTCCTCCTCCTCTCTCCCTGCTTCCTCTATCTCTGGACGTCCTTGGATTGGAAAGGGTGACTTTGAAAAAAAAAGAAGGTCATGGTTGGATAATTTTTTGTTTATTAAATTATTACTTTCACTTCCTCCTCATTCCCACACACATTCATCTTTTTAAGAAAAGAAAAAGAGGTCATGGAGATAAGATTTCTTGGAAAGAAGAGAGAGAGAAACAAAAAAAAAACAAATAAAACGGACGTCATAGAGCCTCTATGTGTGTCTGTGTGTGTCTATATATATATAAAAAGACGAGAGTACTGGGCGAGATCATTTCTTTTCCATTGGGAGCCATGTCGCTATTAGACGTTTTTCCAACTCAACGGATTTCGAACGGGGAGGATTTGAAGACGCTAAAGCAAATCTCCAACTTGAAAATTTTTTTGGCGTGTCATTGTGCGACATTTATTCCGCATTTACCACCTCATCAAGCGATCGTTTCTTTCAACCAAGATGTCGAATCCTCCAACCTGCTCGTTCAGAATATATACAGAAATTTATTCGAATCGCAACAAACGAAAGAGGAATCTCCCTTCTCTTGGAATCGGATGGATCGAGCTTTGAGACGGCCCATTCAAACAGACCGGCGATATACGGATCCGCGCACGAGTTTTCGGTGGAAGAATATTTTTCTCACGAAACGATATTTTACGTTTGGAGTGAGAACGACGGCTGAGGACGAAGTTCATATTGTTCAAACCACAGCCGCTCCTCTCGCCTATTACGAATCATCGTCCCCCAATCTGAAGGAAAGAAGTTTTAAAGTCAGCGACAGGATGAAATATAAGAAATATATTCTAAGACCTTTTCAAAACTATGTCGTTCCCCCCGAAAACGCAATATCTCATCGTCACAACCCAGAAGAGTCTCTTTCTCGTCGATCGGTGCTCGTACTCGCTTTGGAAACAATTGAAAGAGGAGATTTCTTTCCAATCGCCGATGATGTTTCAAGAAAAAGAAGAAGAAAACCCTCCGCCACCTTTACCCATCCCTTCCTTAGATGATAAGAGGAGCTGGACCAAACCGTCATGGCCCGAAACAAAATCGACCCGGCAACGGAATGAAATTGAAGTCATCACAATTGAAGATGAGGAGGAAGAAAAAAAATTACCTCTTAAAAAACGGTCGACTTACCGGAACCTACCTGGCGTGCAAGATCCGCTTCAGAATCCAGAAGCTTCTTCTTTCTTCTTCCCCCGACTTGTTCAAACAGGCAACCTCTTTCGGACTCCTCACAGACAGAAACCTCTTCCAGTATCCTCTTCTTCTTCTTCTTCTCTCCTCCAACCTGTCCCGACATCGTAGAGGTAGAATGTCAGACGGGTCCACAAGCTTCAAAAAGTCCCGACATCGTAGAGGTAGAATGTCAGCCGGGTCCACAAGTTCCAACAGGTCCAGAAATCATGGAGGCAGAATCACAGCCGGGTTCACAAGTTCCAACGGGTCCAGAAATCGTAGAGGTAGAATTTCAGCCGGGTAAACAAGTTCCCAACGGGTCCAGAAATCATGGAGGTAGAATCGCAGCCGGGTCCAGACATCCTAGATCCCTCCACTCATCCAAAGAGACTCCAAGTGTTTCAAGACAGCCTTGTGAGGATCCAGCCCTTCCCGTATGGAATGATTATATGGACTTACAAAATTTGGTGCAACAGGAAGGAGAAGAAAAATAATCATACGGATGGGTGGGTCAAAGACTGTTTAGATCATTTAACCTCGAATGAAATTGAACTGTTATGGAATTGCATTTCTGAAATCACACATCGGAAATGGGATAAAAACCAAAACAAAAAAAAATTTTTTTAATAACAAATTGGAGGAGGGTCATGATGTCAATTAAAAAAAATATTATATAGAGTCCAATCTTGGTGGTTCACTTCAGTTTTCCAGCATGAGGTGATCCACGTTTCCCGAAATATGGATCCCATTCCAAGAGAGATTGTGTAGAGCCTTCACTTCAGTTCTTTTTTTTCCTACCAAGAGGAGAGGGTCCCCAAAGGGCTACCCATGTCCAAAGAGAGAAAGTGTTAGAGCGTTCATTTCAGTTTTTTTTTTCAAGTTTAGGGGATGGGAGGTCTCAAAATGACACCCCCATTTTCAAAGAGAGATGGTGTAGAGCGTTCATTTCTGTTTTTTTTTTCCAAAGTTAGGGGAGTTTTCAAATGGCTACCCATTTCAGAGAGAGAGAGAAGAGAGAGAGGTGTAGAGCGTTCATTTCAGTTTTCCAAGGTTAGGATGGTGGTGGAGAATCCTCCAAAATGGCTACTCATCTCAGAGAGAGAGAGAGAGAGAGAAAATGCGTAGAGCGTTCATTTCAGTTTTCCAACATTAGAAGGTCCCAAAATACCTTCTGAATTCAAAGAGAGATCGTGTAGAGCGTTCATTTCCAGTTCTTCAAGATCAGAAGAAGAGGGTCCGCTTTTCAGAGACAGCGAAGTGCAGACTTCAGTTTTCTCCCTCCCCAAGAATAGAGGGTCCCAAAATGGCTTTCCATTTCAAAGAGAGAGGGAGAGGCGTTCATTTCCATTCTCCAAGATAGGGTCGTCTGCTTTTTTCCCAAAATGGCTTCCCAATTCAAAGAGAGAGAGAGAAAGGGTAGTAGAGCGGTCATGTTCATTCTCCAAGATAGGGTCGTCAGCTTTTTCTCAAAATGGCATCTCCCCATTCAAAAAAAGATCGTAACCAATTTTTTCCAGTTTTTTTCCAAGATGGGGGGGAGAAGAAAACCTAGGATGGAATAACACGACACACAGAGAGAAAGAGAAAAAAAAACGCCATCTTGTTATTTTCTGATAGGGTACCGGTGTTCGAATACTTTTGTGACCGACTGTACATTTAGTATATCATTGGAAGCAGTATTAATTCTACGTACTTTGAATGCAAATATTAATTAATTAATTAATTAATTATTAATTCTACGTACAAACAACTATCTTTGCAATAGAAGGTGCCAAAACTTTGTATTTGGCCGTATATTTCGAACTTCATCTAGTTTAACAGATAAGATGAAGTTTCCTACATTTGGTTGTATCATCGATTCCTCTCCACACATTCATTCTCTAATAATATTCTTTAAAGAATTTTTTATATTCATTTATTAGGAAAAAAAGAGGCTGATTCTAAAACGCTATTCGTAGAACCGACTAGTACTAAATTTAGAGCAATGAGTAACTCCTAACCAAGGAGGTTAGAATAGATTCTAACCTCCTTGCTCCTAACATGAATTTGGTGAGATGCCTTTTCACTTAACTATTTAGTAAAACCAATGTAAGTATCGCGCGTATTTGACGCGCCATCTGTAGAATTGCTGATACATTTTCTGACATCAATGTTCATGCTCTCTAACAAGTTGATGATCATATTGCAGATACCGAGTCCAGTGGAATCTGTGCAAGTTAAAATACCGATCACTCTTTCGTATATGTTTTCTTTATAAAGATGCCTAATAACAGCTGAACATTGGTCCATTTGATTTATGTCAGTAGTACTATCAATGTGAAGTGAGTAAAAATTCGCTTCTCGATTCTCAGCTGACATTAACCGTCTCATGACATTCTTGATGCTAGTTATGATATAAGCTATCGCCATTTTAGATAACAATGTTCTGCTACTCCCTTTACGTTGACGATCAGCATGATTCGTTATAACATTGATTTGCCTCTGAAGGTTCGTATTTTGAAAGTCATAATATCGTTTCCGAACATCTGTTAAGCTTCGCGCATTTTCATCCTTATGACTTCTGAAAGCAATTCCTCTTTTTCCGATACATTAAACAACATCAATAACTTCCAACACTCGCTTTCGTTCTATTGCATATTTTTGACGAATCGTCAACGTTTCTGAGGACAAAGTACTATATATGTTTTTTCCTTTTGCATTTATGCTTCGGTACATTTATTTTGAATTTTACTCGCTTCATATTCATTCGCGCGTTGTATTACGTGGCCCCAATCTCTCATTCCTTCATTCCTTAGCATTGTATTCTATAGTAATATATTTTATAGTCAGCAAAAAATTCAAAACATTTTGAATAATAATAAACTAGTTTAGAAATTTTGATATTATATAAAGACATACCAGACATCAAATGCTATTCTGAGGGCCTGCACAGTTTGGATTTTCAAATAAGTGAAAATGTAATTTATACCTGTGAAATGTGATTCGAATTTTTAGTCTGTAAGCTTTAAATAATTTACACATCTGTATTAGAAACTTGAACTAAATAAATTTCCTTACGGCCCTTGGTGTCATTTAAATTTCCCAAATGTAAACCTCCATTTCCCAAATGTAAACATATGAGTAAATTAAAATTGATTGCTGAAAGAAACGTCACATAACTTTGTTAATTCATCATTGTGGTTTTTCTAAAACTTAGACCCATCTAATTCCATTTATTTTATACCAGATTTTTTTTTTTTTTTTTTTTTATTAATTTGTCACACATAATATGGTTTCCAGTGGTGGCAATAACTATAGTTATTTTAGTTTTAAGTTATCTGTGAACGGCATTAATTCTTTCTTAAGTTTTGGTAAATATCTTGTACTTTTCCCTCTTCTAGTATGTTGAGTTAAATATTTAATTTCATATTCTTAAATGTGTGTAACTTTTATATGTTAGTTTGTTGTATAATAAGTATAATGTGTCATCCGTGAGGTGTCTTTCCTTATGTGTTCCTTTTAAATGAAATGTAACTGTGGAAGAGGGCGGGGGATGAGTAATGTTACAGTTAAAAAAAAAAAAAAAAAAATACAATCTCTGGAAACTTAAAAAATTCCCTTAATTTTTAATAACTTCACTCGAAATTTTACTGATAACATCGGCAAATTTTTGGTCTAGATACGATGTTATCAGTAAAATTTATTTTTAAACATCTGTATGAGACAGGAAGAAAGTTTATATTTTATTTTGGATTTGGTACAGTTAACAAAATGTAAGAATTAGGCATTCAGATGAAGTTCAAATCTGGAATATATTTTTTTTTTTTTTTTTTTTTTTTAAAGCGAGCTTGGCTGCTCTTTTTTTTTTTTTTTTTGGTTAGCATATTGTAGTATTCCAGGAATTTCTTCTTGAATATTACTCTTGATAAAAGTAGTAAATTTAACGAAAGGATATATTTATTGAATGGAGGATTCTTATATGCAGTGAGAATCCTTTGTGTAGTGGCATATTTTATAAACTCTCTAAAGGAAGTAAAATATTTTTTGTTGTATATTTATTTATCAGACTGAATGTAGATATTTGTATAAGACTGACGATTCCTGCCATACGGACTGGGTGCCTACCATTTTTTTGTGATTTTCATCCTACATGGATAAGAGCCATTTTAAAGTAAAAAGACCTGGATGAAGGCATCTGTGCCCTTAGGAAGATAGCCCTCATTGTATTTTGTTGTTACCCAAATTATCCAATCTATACTGATGATAAATGTGTGCATACAAGATTTGATAATGAGTAGATATTTATTATTTCAGATTCATAACATAATCATGGGAAATATATTTGCAAATTTGTTCAAAGGCCTTTTTGGTAAAAAAGAAATGAGAATTCTGATGGTTGGCTTAGATGCTGCTGGTAAAACCACAATTCTCTACAAACTGAAACTTGGTGAAATTGTTACTACTATTCCAACTATAGGTGAGTTTTATATATCTTTTTTTTCTTCCATATTGTATTTAGTTTAATTATTACATCCCTCTCAATATATTTAAAATGTTGAAGGCAATTGTCAATCTCTCACATAGGCCTTGCCAACATTTTTTGCTCTCAAAATGTATTAAGTTTTATGTATTTTCATTATTATTTTAGAAAACAAACTAAAAATTTAGGAACTGCTCTGATATGCGCCCTCAAGTTGCCAAATTTCTCGTCAAATATTTTTGGCGAGAAACTTCACCACGCTGCCATATTTCTATCTAAATTTTTTGTCTACATTTCGAACTTTAAGCCTAAAATGTCTCCAAAAATACGGTTTTCGCATATGCAAAAACTACGTTTTGAACACACGATTTAAGCTAAAAATCCGAAACAAAAACAAAAAATTTAGATAGCAAAAACGTAAAGTTTTTAACCAAAAATATTTGACAAGAATCCATGTACACAGCGATATGTTTTAACTTAAAAAACATCTACGAATTGCAAATCTAGGCAGCAAAAGAATCTACGAACACCTTGCTTTAATAAATTAACATAACAATAAATTTCAAAGAATACCATATACACAGCATTCTGTTTAAACTTTAAGAAAAAATCTACGAATTGTACAATCTAGGCATTGCGTACAAATCAACAAAATAAACTAAAATAACTAAAATAAATTACAGACAATTCAAATAACAACAGAAATTCATAGTAAAAAAACAGTGAACATAACATTCTACAAAATAAAAACAATAAAATAAAATGCACTTACCATAATACGTACGTGAATAAAATTTCGCCAGTTACACAACATCTGTGTACAAAAGTGCTAAGATTTTGCTATATCACATGTCTTTCTGTGATTCAAAATTTCGAAAGTAACGATAAAAACTTCCTCCAAAGTTAACTTACTACACGAAAACCACAATCCAAATCTTAAATTCCGCTGACAGCCACATACTTTACCAGCAACCATTTGACTGCAAACCCACACAAGCCTATCGGAAACACCATTCTTCGTCCAAGTTCTCATATCAGCTCCGCATTTCGGACACGCCAAACTCCGTTTAAAAAGTCCTGACTCCCACAGAAATTCCAAAAATGCTCTCCTATCTGCATAAGCACACCCGTGAACAAAAGACTCAACATCTCCAACATTGTACCTTTTAATACTAAATTTACTTTGCACACAATCTAAAATATGTGACTGAAATCTTGCCACCATGTCTCTCATTGCAGCATTCAAAACACGCACGACATGAACCAGTGAACAATTAAACCACTGCAGCAAAAGAATTATGTTCCAGCGTCAAAAGGGTTGTCATACAAACAGCATCGTCCATCAAACCATCCCACAACACGGAATCGTGCCAAAAACCAGCGCAGAACACATATCGCCACATTTGGTGATCTTAGGGCACATATAAGAGTAGAGCCAAACATTTGCTTAGTCTATATATATTTTAGGGTACCCATTGGGTTATTGCGAAGTTGTTTCATTTATGGTAACCTGAGTAGTTGAATGTTGCGTGATTGCGGTGTAATTTGGCTGATGGGAAAATATTTGTAAGGGCTTATTAGAAAGCATGTTGCTTATTTTGTGCTTTGCACCATAAAGTTCCTGCTGGTAGTACGATTAACTTGAAGTTTCTGTACCCTTTCGAACATTTGGGAAAGAACACATTGATTGACTGGTGTGTAAATAAAGATTTAAATAACTTCGTTCATCTCTCGGTAAATTACGCAGTGAGATTTAAGGATTTGGAAACTGAAGCTCATATTGTCACTGGAAGGTATGTGGGGTGTAGTAAAAAGGGATTTTTGAAAGAAACGCCATTGGCATTCTGGCAGTACAGAGAATATTTGGGTGAAATGCAGAATCGTCCACTTATTTGGCACGTTTTGTTTAGTGCCTTTTACAAAATTAATAAGCGTGCCAATTGTGTTATCCAAGCCGATTTTGTCATTCTGGAGGACGCGAATTTCGGAGCATTTTCGCACATGCACAGTATATATTTTGAATTGAGAATTTCTGATTTTTTTAAAGCTCTTGGTAAAACAAAAATCTCTTCAAGTTCATTACTACTTTAAAATCATCCATTCGCCACACTTCCTCAGGATTAATTTTCACGCATGCTCAGTATATATTTTAAACTGAGAATTTCCGATTGGTGTAAACGGTAATAGATGGTAGAAATGCAGTTATTTTAAACAAGAATTAGAAAACATTTTGAGAATTCGTTACTTTTCGTTCTTCGGCTGAGCGGAGTGGATTACCCTTTTTCAGATAAATGAATATTTCTTTACATAAATTTTTACAGATATTCACAATGGCCTCCAGTGATATTAGTATTTTTGAAAGTATGAATGAATGCATGTTAAAGTATGCTGAATATTCTGAAAGTTTTTTGCCATGTTGCCTGCATTAGGAAAGAATGATGTATGAAAGAAGGATTGATCGGATCATAGTATTCATGTCCAAAATGTGGAAGGAGCATGAAATTGAGAGAAAAAAAGGGAAAAAAGGCAAAAAATGATGGTTCTAAATGGTTTTGTAGGAATCAGTGCAGAGTAAAAGAGGAAAGGCATGATGTGTGTAAGAGTATAAGGAAAAGGTCTTGGTTTAGTTTGGGTTATTTGGATATGTGTACAATTTTGTGGTAAAAGTATATTTACGGGTACTCCACGAAAATTGGCGAGTTTTGGTGGTACATGGATACTGCATTTGTGCAATTCCTTGACTTGTTATTTTGGCTTTGTGTAGCAGAGATATTAGCACCAAAAATTGCTGCTACACAAAGGCAAAAATAACAAGTCAAAGAATTGCGAAAACTCAATAACTATGTACATATTGACCTATTTTCCACTTTAAAAAAATTGCAGAATTGCACAAACTTGGCATTGCGCACTCCCTTGACTTTATCCATGTACACGTCGACCTATTTTCACTTACAAAAACATCAGAGAATTGCACAAACTTGGCATTGTGCACTTCCTTAACATTGTCCATGTACACATTGCTATATTTTCACTTAAAAAGTCAAAAGAGCACCCAATTCTAGGTAAAAAGTATATTTACGGAACATTCAACTACTCAAGTTACCATAACTGAAACAAAAACTTCGCAATATATGAAACAACTTTGCAATAATATAAGGGGTACCCTTCACTCTACTCTAACCTATATGGTAAAAATGAAAAAACAACTTGGCAATAAACAAAACTACAGCTTAATGATAAATGAAACAATAACATAGCGATAATACAAGGGTTACCCTTCAGTCTACTGTAACCAGTTTTGTTAGTGAAAACGTGGTTTCGAAGGTGCCCTCAGAAATATGTAATCGAAGACCTAAATGTTTCTAATAACACGGTAGCCGATTGATATAATTTCTGTAGGGAAATATGTATTCATGTTACAGTGAAAGATAGTTGCAAGATTGGAGGAGTGGGAAAGATTGTTAAGGTTGACGAAAGTAAGTTTGGGAAGATGAAGTAATGAAGAGGCAGGCCCGTGAAAAGAAGATGGGTGTTTGGAGGAATTGAAAGAGATATGCACAGATGTTTTTTTAAGAGTTGTTCCAATTCAAACAAGTTCCTTCTTGCTTGATGTAATTAGTGAAGGGGTGTTGCCTGGCACCACAATCATTTCTGACTGTTCGGCTGCCTATAAATGTCTAGAAGACAAAGGATTTCGGCATTTAGAGGTAACCTGCAGTTACTAATACCATTGGGGATGTGTGGGCAGAAATCAAACGATTTTTTGGAAATTCTACAAATCGAACTGAAGAAATGTTTGATTCATATCTGTATGAATTTATGTGGAGAAAATGACATGACCACTCTGTATTGAATGAAACCACATCTTCCTCGAAATTCTAATTTCTTCTTGATTATAACCTTCTCTCCAAGTGAATAGCACTTCTGGCAATTAGCGACAAACTTCTCAAAATGTTTCTTATTGTTGCCAAGCGGTCGACTACTCTTTGTTTTACGTCATCAAACCGTAAAGCTCTTGGTAAAACAAAAATCTCTTCAAGTTCATTACTACTTTAAAATCATCCATTCGCCACACTTCCTCAGGATTAACTTTGTTACCATGATATGTACCTGCTAAGTAAAGTAAGCCCAAGAGAACTTTTATTTCTGCTCCATCCATGTCTCTGGTATCCCTTATACATCAATAATTAGGCCTCACAGAAGAAATAAACTTCTTCGAATCTTCAGCAATGATTTCTAACATAAAATCTGTAATGAGGCATTTTCATACATCCAAAATGTTTGTTAGATATTTAGCTTGACCAATGACTCCAGGAAGATGAGTACTTACGTTTTGAGGCACTCGTTTAGTTTTCTTAAACGATTTTTTTTATGCCATGTCCAAAAATTGATGACTTTTCTGTTTTTCATTTGATGAGCCCCACAAACACTTCGGAAAAATCATCATCATTATTTTCATCTTCAGAATTGCTTTCTGCACACATCTCCGATTCTGAATCACCTTCTCTTTCTGAAATTCGCTCTTCTTCATCTGTAACACTTTCATCATGTAAAGCTATGTCCTCATCATCATCACTGTCACATAAAAGCATATTTCTTATAGTCTCAAGATCCTTCGGGTCATTCATTTTGAGCATTTTACTTTTATTCGCAATAACTGAAGAAAAAAAAAAAATATCACACATGGTTGCATATATGTGACAAATATAGTGCTTGCATTTTATCGTTAAAAGTAATTGTACACAAAAATTATATAAAATCATAAGATTCAGATAGAAAAACAATAAAGATTTTCTGTAACAAAAAAGGAAATTAAATGTAACAAAAATTTACTTCAGTGATCGTGCATATTTTTGGAATACAAATAATAGAGCTGCAGACTCCTGTTAACATCTTGAAATCCAGTAGACGACTGAAAGAAGGACAAATAAAGAAGAGAGAATAGCCAAGGACATTCTGTTATAGCACCCTTTGACCTATGAACCAAATAAGAAATTAATCTCCAGTGTATCTCACACATACGTGAGCCCTCTGAAAATGATGTTTTTAAAGCATTTCTTGCCGATATTGCAAGAATTTATCCCCCCACTTTACGAGATCTGGCCTCTGAGGAAGAATTTTATGAAACACGTTATGAGGACTATGTTTCAGACATCGGTATTCCCGAGCCACATTAATAATTTAAAAAATAAAGGGGGATTTTGGGATACAGCCTTTTTTATACATTCAGGTAAGTGAAAGTATTTTAATTTTTCAGTGTTATGCAACGTTTTTAAGTGTTTGAATCTTTCTATGTTTTTGAAACAATTTTTAGTTTTTAAAATTGGTAAAAAGTTTATGGTTCCCTTGGCGAATCGTTTCTTTTTGTGCATCAAGAATGCACAATTTCAAGATGGCCGCTACACAAAACCAAAATAAGAAGTTAAAGACTTACACAAACTCGGTGTCTATGTACATTTTAACTTCAAAAAACATCAGAGAATTGCACAAACTAGGCATAGCGCACTGCCTTAACTTTGTCCATATACACATCGATCTATTTTCACTTAAAAAGTTAAAACTATTATGGTAACCAGTAGTTTTGCTAACATTACCAACATTAGGGTTCTGAAAAACCTACTTTGGCAGGCTCCCAGATTTGCGAACAACCAACCACTTGGTGATTTTTTTCAGAAAAAAAACCAAGGGGTTCCATAGAATGAAGATGAGTTTAACTTAAAATTAAAATTATGTTTCTGGAAAGATTGGATTTTCATTTTTTAAAATTTTTTGGAATTGAAAGTATTTTAATTTTTCAGGGTTTTGTAATGATTTTAAGTTCCTGAAACTTACTATGTTTTTGAAACGACTTTACTTTTTAAAGTTATTATGTTTTTTGAAAGGATTTCCAGTTAAACAAATTTTTTTTACGGGTAAATGTATTTTAATTTAGGGTTTTGTAATGATTTTAAGTTTTTGAAGCTTACCATGTTTTCTTAACCATGTTTGGTTTTTAAAATTATTATGCTGTGTTTAAAGGATTTTCAGATTTTAAAATTTTGCTTCAATTTTTATTTTGTATTTATTTTACTTCTTTGTCATTGTAAATGTGCCTTGCGTAATGTCTTCTGAAGGGGTTGCAAATCTAGGAGAGAAGACGCGGGAGTGCACCAAGTTGGTGATTTTGAAAAACGTGACAAGCAGTGGGTGATTCTTCACTTTCCCCGAATTTTTTTCATTTTTACTTTTGTGAATTTATGTGGCAATGGCAGTATACAGATTCTAGTTTAGATAATTTTAAATAGTTTTTGGATGCTGTTAAAGAATTCTGTGTGCCTCGTATACCAAAGAAACTGGAAAGTTTTAAATAAGCTAAGTCGATATTTCCTTTTTGTATTGCATAGATTACATAATATGTATTTCCATTCTTATATTATTTCCATGTTCGATTTAAAATGGAGTTTATTGAAATTATGTATTTTTTGTTTTAATTAAGTTTTGTTGCATTATATTTTGGATGCCATTTTACTGGGGAGGGCATTGGACGGAAACAGGAATGGTGACAAAAAATCAGCAATTTTCACAAGGAGTATCCTGAAATATATTTTTACCAAAAATTTTTCATATTCTCAAACAGTATGCCTGTCAGCATTCAAATTATATTGACAGCTTTTCATGCTTTCATAAAAAAGTATTCTCGATGCCATAACATTTGGGTCTTTTTGAGTGGTCAAAGTGCCACTAAGAATTTTAAAATATTCCACGTTTTCCTTACTGAGATCTGTTCTCAGGGAGGCTTAAGCTGTTGAGTAAAATTGAATACTAACTTGTTTCTTACTAGGATGGCATAGAGGGTCAAGGTTTGATCATCTGTCTTCTGTTCTGTAGAGTGAGAAATCTTGCTCTTCAGTGTAATGAATGAGGCCGGTTAGGTGTAAGTCCAGATTTTCAACATGGAGTTGCAAATTGTACTTGTCTCTTCCTGTGACATGGAGGCTTTGCGTTTCATGTAGTTGTTTGTTTAAAGCAGCAATTCATGTTATTGTTAGCTACGTGAGAATTTTCTTTGGAGCTGAATGGAAAAGATATTTTATCTTTTCACTTCCCCCCCCCATTAAGTGCCAGTCCAATAGTTTGTGTGAGCATTGATAGGAATGCAGAATTAAGTTTAATGCTGCCTTTTTTGATTATTATTTGCTTTGTTCCTCATTTGGAAGTACATAGCTTTGCTAAATAAAACATTAGCTGTATTAATATTATAATTCAGGTGGGGACTTTCTCATGATATGTGTCTTATTTTAATAGAAAAATTAGTATAAAAATTAGTATTCATTTATTAAAAAGTTTTTTTCCCCCTCCTAGGTTTCAATGTGGAAACAGTTGAATATAAGAATATTAGTTTTACTGTATGGGATGTAGGTGGTCAAGATAAAATTAGACCTCTATGGAGACATTATTTCCAAAATACACAAGGTAAGACATTTTTATCAGAGCTCTTTTATCGAATAAATGTAGTATTTGTCTTTCTGCTGAATGACTGAAACAAGAAGAAGGGGGGAAAAAAACCTGTATTTCTTATTTATTAAGTTTAATATCCATCTTTTTAAATTTTTATGTAATTTTCCTCTTAAATTCTGATGTTAAATTCAATAAGAAATACAGTCCTCGGGACTTCGGCGATTCCGAATTATCGGTTTTTCCGGATTATACATCATCAGTTTAAATCTCTTAAGATGGCATGCAGAAATTATAAAATTAAAAATTTGAAAGCGTAATTTATGAAATAAAGAGCAATTATGATCTAAAGGGTATCAAAATTTACAAAAAAAAAAGCTTAATATTTATTTGTTTACTTTTCTTTCAATGCGCGCGTGCGTAAAGCATACATTACGCATAGTCGAAATTAGAAAATTGCAACCAGAAAACTATTTGATGTGTATTCGTGATATTTATAATGACGAAGAATTTGATTTAAATCATATCAAAGACGGAGTGCATCGAGATGAAATACTACATTTAGTAAGGAATTATAAGCCAAATAAAATAAAAACATTTGTCCTGAAGATAAGGATAGTGCTGACAAATCAACTTCCAGTTCATTGAACGCCGCGACGTCCCCCCCCCCTGCAGAGCAGCGTGAAATTGATAAACAGATTTCGGAATGGGTAGAGAAACAAAGGATATGCCTTTATCCAATTTTTGCAGCAATTCCACTTTTTGTTTGATGGACATCGAAACATGCTTTTGCTTTGTAGATCCTTTGGCAGCTTTAGAATCGGAAATTCTTTTTGACATAATCGAAAGTTCAAGCTTACTTTTATAAAATTTCTCTAACAGTCTGCCAAAAATAATAAGCCGGATCCAATTAAAAGATTAAGGAACAATGCAATCTGCAACATTAACTGAAATAGATAATTAGATAATTTTAGCTTAGCTTATAACATCCGTTTATACATTAAACGCGCATATGTAAACGTATTATGCGCATGAGTACACGCATATGCGTATGCGTAAAGGTATTATGTGCATGCGTCAACGCATTATGCATTGACGCATGCACAGAATGTGTTGACGCATGCGCAGAAAGTTTGTAGCTTTGAAGTCCGGATTATAGATCATTCCAGATTATGGACATCCAGATTAAAGACTTTTGACTGTATTAAATCAAAGAGCTATATTTAAAGAGGGTTTTTCATAAGATGTTGGATTAGTGCTTTGATGTGGACTTGCACACATATGGGTCAGAGAAAATGTAGATGCTGGCTTACAGTTCAGCATTGAGGCAAATGCTAAATTGTAAAGCCTGTGGTTCATGAACATCTTTCCATTTAATACTGACATATAAAAACTGGAAAGTAACTGTGAGGTGCCAGTTGGAGAGTCTGTAGATCTTTCTGTTACTTCTACCATATCATCTGCTTAAACGATAGTGAAATTGCATGTAACTGAGAGGCATTTTACAAAATATGTGAAACTATCTTTTATTAATTTATTTTCTGTGTAGTTCTTGAATATAGAATCAATATGAAAAAAAGCATTTAACTGGAAATATAGGGCAGCTTTATAAAAAAAAAAAAAAAAAAAAAAGTGAAGCTGTCTTTCAATGAAGCTGTATTTAATTTTTCTGCAATTTCAAGCCATGTAATTAAACATTTTGTATCTCCAGAACCCACTCTTGCAGCAGCAAGAATGACCTGGTATTAAATTTATTATGCCTATGTGTGCGAGAAGGGAGGGCCTGAAAGAAAAATTTTCGGTACTTTTCCGTTTCGCCGGCGCAAATCTCGCCAGGAAGACTTTATTGGCGACAACATACAGTATACACATAAAAAATATTTAAAAAATGTTAGTTCTAAGAATTCTTTTAAAAAAACGAAGGCATAAACATTTAAATATCGCTTAAAATTTTATAAAAGCCAATAAATAAAGACAATAAATTTTGTAAAAAGACATTAATTTAAGAATTTACTATGGTTTTTCATGGTTCAAAATCCTGATTCGCCGGTTCATATCACGTGACCCCAAGCAATCTCATCTCACTCACGTAAACTACTATACAAAAATCTAATGCTCTCAGTAATTATCTACATTAATTTCATCAAGTTAAATCTTAATTTGGAACACAAGCAGTTTAAATGCAAGAAATATTTCAATTCTTACGAATAGCTTACTCAGAAATTATGTAAAACTGTAGTGCTTTACTTCGCTAATGCATTCTCATTAGAATGGATGAATTTAACCCTTGACTTTACCTTTTCTATATTTTTCGGCTTCAGGTAAGCGCTGTAATTGCAATCCTAATTGACTTATTACCGAAAATGGCCTTAGACATAAAACTGAACTATCTGATAAAAATTCTATGTAATTATATGCCAGTATTGAAAGAAACAATCAATCTGATAAGAAAAAGCTGCGACTTGTTTTGAAAATGAGGCGTAAAAGGTTACCAGCGAGAATATTCCGTTTGGCATCGGTTGTACCATTATTGGCGACTTTATCGCTTGCGCCGGCAAAACGGAAAAGTACCAAATTTTCTCCCATATTTTTCTGTTGTTCTTTCCAGAATTTGATGGATTTCTAGCTGATTTCTATCTTATGACTTAGATTCTGCGACCAAGTCTAGCTTGTAAGATTTTATTGCTTAATTTTCTAAAATAATGCATTAAGCAAATGGGATCTTGTAGTATATTTTCGTATCTCCTTAAATTAAGACACAATAACACGCCGAATAAATACTGATTCAGAAGTCAAACAACAAAAATCAGCGTTAATTCTGAATCAGTCTCCTTAAATTTTTTTAGAATGCAAGTTAAACAATTTTTGTAAAAAGCTGCTTTTGTTTCCTTCCAGTGTGTTTTTCATAAGTATATACTAGCCTTCATAAAAATGTCTTATGACAATGATTAAGGTGGCAACTGCTAATTCAGAAATGTTTTCTTTTCTGGAAATTCCTTCTAACAAACAAATGCTGGGGTGCATTGCTTATGTTTTTTTTGGAGGGAGGGGTCTCATTGGCTCATCTGGTAAATTATATGGACTAAGAACCTTTCTTTAAAAGCCGCTGTTTGAAGCCAGAGAGAGAGATCCATGCTTAAAAGAAAATCACAGATAAAATATTCATATACTTACCTACTAAAAAACCAATGAAAAGCACATGAATATAACATTACAATAAATATACAGCATTGCACTAATTATGATAATACAGTACAAAGTCCAAAATCCGGACTGGTCGGGACTTCAGCGATTCCAGATTTGGCTTTTTTCTGGATAATAAATAGATCATCAATTTAAATCTGGTAAGATGGCATGCAGAAATTATACAATTAAAAATATGAAATCGTAATTTATGAAATAAAGAACAATTATGATCTAAAGCGTATCAAAATTTGCAAAAAAGCTTAATATTTATATGTTTACTTTATTAAACATTTCTTTCAATGTAAGTTGTTTAAGATTCTTCCACAAAAAATTTAAAAAGTTCCTTTTTCTTTTTTCTTGTGTCATATACAGTGGACTTTCCAATGCCATACTCCTCGCATAATTTTGAGACAGGTATCCCTTTATCAATTTTTTGTTTAAAGGACATCGAAACATGCTTTCGCTTTTGTAGATCCTTTGATAGAATTGGAAACTCTTTTCGACATAATCAAAAGTTCAAGTTTAGTTTTTATAAAATTGCCGTAATAATAACAATCTGCAAAAAATAATAAGCTGGGCCAAATGAAAAGATCAGGGAGCAGCGCAATCTGCTAACATTAATTGAAGTGCCTTAGAATCAGTAAAGATAATTTTAGTCTAACTTAATAGCGTTTGTTATACATTATTGGCTATGTATCACAAGATTGGCGACAAAAGCCAAGTTGTTTCGCTAAATTTTATCTTGCTGCTATTGTGTACTGAATTAAGCCTGGATAATTGTATTAGTTTAGTTACTATACCTACATTTATTTCTTGCACATACTTCAAACTAATCTAAATCCTGAATAAATAAACTCCCATATATACTTAAGGCTTTATCTAGGGCCAACGTTCGATACCACCTGGTGCAGTCAAATTCTGCTACAAAGCACTTTCCTAAGTTCTACATTTTCACCATACCTAAACTTTGGATCCCAGTGCTTTCCCTTAATCATAAAAACTTCTCATCCCTTAATTTTGCCGCTCTGTGCTTCTCCAAATTCCACAAATTTCGTCTTCCTTAAATTCTGCCATCTGGTGCCGACATATTCTGCCATTACTTCTAGGTTTATGGTGAATAACATATCAGTTATTTTTAATTAAAATAGCAGTAATCTTTTGGCCTATGAGTTTCATCATCAAAATCTATTTTTAGCATATTAAAAGAAATTTTTGTTGAATTTTCCCTCGTCATTATTTCTTAGAGCGTTTAAAAATCTATAATCATCGCCAAGTGCAATGTTAGCATAAAAGGTTGCCATACTCTTGTTATTCAATTACTAAAAATGTTTAGACATCACAGCAGAAGTTATTACTGAAGCTGTCATGTATTGATAAACATGCGGTGATGAAAGTAAAATATAATAAATGACTCGCCAGGTCGACGTCAGGGATATAAAGTAGGTGAATGTTTCGGTTTGAGATGTATGCCAAGTAGATACTCAGCTACGGAGCCAAATTATTAATCTCACTAATTTATACTTACATGATTGTTTTTCCATAACGAGGTATTTTATTTAGTGCCTAAGTGAAATTAAGAATCGGAATTTTTAAGTGAAAATCTCCACATGTTTTATTATGGAAGGAAAAATCAAATGTGCATGCGTAAAGCATTAATAATAATAATAATAATAAAATTGTTTGTGGCTTTGAGGTCCGGATTTTAGATCATTCCGGATAACAGACGTACGAATTTTGGACTTTGTACTGTATAATAATTTCAACATTACAATAGCATTTTGTTCCAGAAATACATTGCAGTAGTTTGGGATTTGAACATACAACAACAAAAT